AAAACCTTTGGCAAAGATCTGCCAAGAAACTAACTTGGGGAAGAAGCCTTGCTGGTTGTTCTTGGCAAAGATCTGCCAAGAAACTAACTTAACTTAGGGAAGAAGCCTTGCTGGTTGTTCTGCTTTAGGTACGAGTGGCCCCTAGACATGGGCTTGAGTTAATAAGCCCTTATGAAATGGTATATGGAAGGGTGTTGTTACACCCTTTTCATAACTTAGGAGTTCCTCACATTAGGGAATTGGATACTTTCAGGGAGGTCCAGCAGGTAAGGTAAGTTCACTTCCAGCAGGTTGACGTGCCCCACAGACGTGCCCTTGCACCAACTGTATCCTGGAGACTCGGTATCACTAAAGACCTTAAGAGTGAGCACCCAGAGGGCCAGCTCCAACTTCAGTGAGGCTCACTCTTCAGGGACACTGAGGGGAGTCAAGCCGTGGATTCCTCACATTCAACATACGAGAATCCGCAGGTTCCCTACAGCCTGCCAGCAAGGAGGACCTCAAAAAAAGCACTGCTTGGAGCAGTGAGCCTCTGGCAGACCCCTCCTATTCAGGAGAGCTGGCCTGAAGACCTCAATACATGCAACAAGCTTGGTTAAAACACCTCTCCCCAAAGGTCCTAGATAAAATGTAGTACAAACACTAATAACCAAACTACAAAATCTTGGTAATGCAGGGGCACCTGAGTGACTTGGTCGGTTAAGTGTCGAACTTCAGCTCAGGCTTGTGGGTTAGAGCCCCGCATCGGGCTGTGTGCTGACAGCTCAGAGCCTGGAGCCTGCTTCAGATTGTTTCCCTCGCACGCTCTCAAAAATAACTCTTAGTAATGGAATGTTGGGTTTCAGCCTGGGACTGAAGAGTATCTCTAAGTGAGTGCAGGAAGTTTCCATTCCCCAACTCTAATCTGTGCCCCATCTCAGCAGGAAGTAACTAGAATGGTCATCGTCCCAATTCCCTCAAGAATGAGGAATGATCAAAAGAGGGTAGGGATTGAAACCGGTAACCAGAGAGATAATGTGGCTGATTGCAGCTGCAGACTAGTAAGTGCAGCTGTGACTCTTTACCCAGAACTTTTTCATTTGCCTTCCAATTTCCCCAACTCTCCTCCTTAGGAGCAGATTTGAGGCTTGCCCTCGCGTCTCTGCCTTTGGCTGCCTCTCAAATCAACTCTTTCCTTGCTGCATCCTTGGTGACTCAGTGATCATCTTTGCTGGGCATCAGGCAGACAAACTTGGGTTCAGTTACAATAACACAAAGTATTTGTTCGTTTACTCGGAAACAGCATCTACTCTGTGCCAGGCACTGTTGTAGGCACTGGAAATCAAGCCATAAATAAGACAGACAAAAGCCCTGCTTTCCTGGGGCTCACCCTCCAGTGAGAGTTGACAGTCAGTCAACAGCTGAACAATAAGAAACATCTACAAAAACAGTTTAAGTGCCTTGAACACATTAAAACTGGATACGATGGTAGCATATGATTCTCTCCACGTGTGGCCAGTGGAAGGGCTCAGGATAGCAAAGGGTGTAAAACAGGAGTGGCCACAGGCAGAGATCAGCAGAAGACCAAGAATCCTTGGTCCTTCTGTCCTCTCCTCCTTCAGCTCTGGTCTGGCCCGATGTCCCTCAGAGTGTGTACCCCCCAGACCCCCTAACATAAGGTATTTGGTTTCCAGGAGAGCGGCACCCTCGGCTGAATTTTCAGTGGACAGGACACGCCACTTGATGTCCTTCCTGACCATGATGGGCCCCAGCCCCGACTGGAACGTGGGCCTGTCTGCAGAGGATCTGTGTACCAAGGAGTGCGGCTGGGTCCAGAAGGTGGTACAAGACCTGATCCCCTGGGACGCTGGCACCGACAGTGGGGTGACCTATGAGGTGGGTATATGCCTGTGGTGGTGAGGGACAAAGCTTTCTGGGTGCTTTCTCTTCCCCCAGCCTTGTGCTGGGGGTCCCGGACACAAATGTGGTAAAGGAATCCACAGTCTGGAAGGGGAGGCCGGCATAGTTTCACCCTCACATACCATATACAGTATGACCCACACAGCTGGCCAGGAGGCCATGGAGAGGGAATCTGCTAAAAAGCAGTTCATAGATAAGCAAGGGAACGGCAGGAAATGGGCATGGAAGCAAAAAGCAAGAGACGGGGGTGAGAATAGGGAACAACAGAAGCTGATGTATGTGAGGCTGGGCCAGATCCTGGAGGTTTCCAGACACCTAGGCTAAGGACTTTGGATTCTCTCCTGATTTAATATTTTTCATTGCATTGAAATCCAAAGCCATTGGAAAACCAGTGGCAGGGCAGTATGTCGGAAAACCCCAGTTTGTGGGCCAAACTGGGACTACCACCTGACTTGTAAATAAGGTTTTCAAACCCCACTGCCCGCATTCAATTACATGTTGTAGGGAGCTGGTCTCTCCCTACAAAAGCTGAGTCGAGTAGTTGGAGCCGACACAGTGGGACCCACAAAACCTAAAATATTTACCATCTGACCCTCTCTAGACTAATTTGCCAACGCCTGGTCCATCAGGAAGAGCTCTGGATTCAGGCCAGCCTGGTTCAGCTGTTTCCTAGTTGGGATGAGCTCTCTAAAACTTTGTCTTCATCAGGACGTAATCTTGAGTACCTGGGAGAATCTGAAAATCGAGGTCTACCAATTTTTTTTTGCACGATACACGGCGTGAATAGAATTGCATTAACACCAGAGGCAGTTAGAGCTGTTGTGAAATCCCTAACAATTAGGTTTTTGTTCTGATCATATTACAATCAAGTTGCTTTTGTGGTTTTTAAACACTCTGTTTCCCACACTCTCTCTGTGTTCTCTTCCCCGCTGACAGTCACCCAACAAGCCCACAATTCCCCAGGAGAAAATCCGGCCCCTGACCAGCCTGGACCATCCTCAGAGTCCTTTTTACGATCCAGAGGGCGGGTCTATCACTCAAGTAGCCAGAGTTGTCATCGAGAGAATCGCCCGGAAGGTACTGGGGCTAGAGCTCACCCTGCCACAGACCCTTCCCACCAGGAGCGCGAGCCGACTGTACCCCTATCTGCTCAGGAATCATGGGGTCCCTGGCGTATTCCAAAACACAGGACTCCTGGACCGCCTGAGGTTTCTAAGCATGCAAATTATTCGTAAGATCTAAATGAGCAAAATCAACATTACAGTGGGGTTTTGCGCTCCACTGAATGATTTGGTCCAGACACATAAGTATCCTAGTGAGTTCCATAACTGATTACTGACGTCTGCCATGGGTCAGGGACTGGGAAGCTGTGGCTTTCTTGCCATTTCTCTTTCAGTGTGATTGTAAATGTTGGCTCGGAACTCCACCATGGCCTAGGATTTGCACGCAGGGTGGGCATCCGATTTTACCTCCTCCCTCGTCTGACCCCAACACGTGCCACTGTTTGATGGGAGCCCTCCAAGAAAAATTCCTTTTGCAGGGGGAACAATGCAATATTGTACCTGATAACGTCGATGATATTGTCGCGGATCTGGCTCCAGAAGAGAAAGATGAAGGTATGTAAGTTTTCTTGGTTGCAGGTAGCAATATAACCTGGCAATACCTTCTGAGAAATCAGTTTGCGAACAGGTTTTCAGAGCTGCAAAAATAGTGTGTCCTTTGACTTGGCAGTCCCTTCTTTGAGGACTCCTTCCTGGAAGATAAGCCAAAATGAGGCCAGGACTCACAGAAGATGTGTTCACCAGTATCGGGCCTTTGCATGGGCGTCCTGGGACCCCCGGCACTCCCCACTTTAATGGTCACTCTGGCCTGTGAGGCAGCGTGGACACGTCCACTTTCCCGGCAAGGAAAGGGAGGCCTAGATCCTACGGTCAGGAGGGAGTGGCAGGCCCATGCCTTCAGCCCCTTCTCTCATGGGATCTGGAGCCACACCACTTGGGCTTTTTCCTGTGGCCTTGGGCAGGACGCTTCCATGCTACCTCACTGTCCTCACCTGTAGAATGGGGATAATAACAGAACCTGCCTCGCTGAGTGTTGCTGTGAGAACCAAATGGGACAAAACATGTAAGATTCTTACAACGATGCTGGTGTGTAATAAGTGCTGGGCGAACATTGGCTGCCCTCATCGTGACACCTGTGTATGGGGTCGTTGAGAAGATTAAACAGCAACACACACACATGCAGAAGGCTGTGCTTCCCCAATTGCCTGTGATCTGCCTGTACACCCGCAGAAACTGTGTCTGCCAGGAGTGAGGGGCCAGAAATGAGAGACCCTCATGTGTTGAGGGGAAGGGCTAGTAGGACTCTTCCCTGTCGCTTAGATACTCCTGGAATGATTAAAATATCGCCTTTAAAGGCAAGTGAATAGCTGCTTCTACCCCAAGAGCGCCCAGGTTTGCTGAGGCAGGGCAGGCAACGCAGATTTTCTTATCCCCAAAGGAGCTTGCGTGGGGATAGGGCCGGCTCCGGTGTCCACAGGCTCCCAAGGAAAACCTGTCCCACGCTCTTTCCAGATGACACCCCCGAAACCTGCATCTACTCCAACTGGTCCCCGTGGTCCGCCTGCAGCTCCTCCACCTGTGACAAAGGCAAGAGGATGCGGCAGCGCATGCTAAAGGCGCAGCTGGACCTCAGCGTCCCCTGCCCGGACACCCAGGACTTCCAGCCCTGCATGGGCCCCGGCTGCAGTGACGAAGGTGAGGCTACAGCCCAGGTGAGCGAGGAGCTGGCAGAGGCTTGTTCTGTGTTGTGGCGACGGGCGCCTGGGTGGCTCGGTCAGCTAAGCATCTGACTTCGGTTCAGGTCATGAACTCATGGCTTATAGGTTAGAGCCCCGCATGGGACTCTGTGCTGACAGCTCAGAGCCTGGAGCCTGCTTCGGATTCTGTGTCTCCCTCTCTCTCCGCCCCTCTCTTGCTCGCACTCTGCCCCTCCCTCTCTCAAAAACCAACACTAAAAATATTTAAAGAAAGAAAACAGGTGAGCAGGTTGGCCAACATTGAATCTCAATCCATCGCCCTAGTGGGACATGACCATCGTGGGCCTTCGTGTTCTATTCACACCCGAGTTGGAGCACCTCCTTCCTGTGTCAGGACCTCAGGGCTGATTGCAAGGATCCTGTCTAGCTCTCTGCAACTGCTCAAAAATCAGGCCTGAGCTGTGAACTTGCATGGCCTCTGTCATGATGGCACAGGCTTCAGAATGTCACTGAGCTGATTGCTGTGCAAAGGTCAGCTGCCTACTTTCCAGGGTACAGCTGTTCTCTCCATCTGGACAGGTCTAGTCTCTGTACCATGAGCTTAACTGTCTCACAGGTGCGATGAGGCAACAGGAAGAGATACAGAAGTTGGGCTGGTTTATGGCAGGAAGAAAACCACTTCCAAGCTGAGTATAATTGAAGAAAGCTTATCCCACTGTGGGTCATTCTCCCTCTGGTTCTTGCTGGGGACAGTAATACGTCTCCTGGCTGCACTCCCACGGTGATTATTGCCATTTGTGCCTTTGATAAGGCACTTCAGAGGGGAGTGAACCCCCCCACACACTTCCATATATTCTAGATATTAATCCCTTATCAGATAGGATTTGCAAATATTTTCTCTCATTCCATAAGTTATCGGTTCACTGTTGACCGTGTCCTTTTGCACAAATTCTAAAGTTTCATGAAATCTGGGTTTGTTTTTTCCCTTTGGTTGCCCGTGCCTTTGGTATCCTATCCAAGAAATCATTGCTAAATTAAGTGTCCTGAAGGTTTTGCCCTAGGTTTTCTGTTAAGTTTATAGGTCATTGATCCATTTCAAGTTAATTTTTATATACGATATTAGGTAAAAGTCTCCATTCTTTTAAATGGGGGTATCCACCTTTTCCAGCACCACCTATTGAAAAACCTATCCTCTCTCTATTGAGTGGTCTTGGAACCCTTTTCAGATTATTTGCCCATTTGCGTAAGACTTTATTTCTAGGCTCTCTATTCCAGTCCATTGATGTGTAGGTCTGTCTGTATGCCAGCACCACACAGCTTTGATTCCTGTAACTTTGTAGTTAAATTTTAAAATCGGGAAGTGTGAATCTTCCAACTTTGTTCTTTTTCAAGGTTGTTTTGATTATTCAGGGGTCCTTGAGATTCCCTATGGAGTGTAGGCTAGATTTTACTATTTCTGCAGTTGTTCCTGCTTTTTGTGCCTGGTGCGTGTACATGCAGCCCAGAAGCTACCCCACTCAACGCCAGATCAAGTTCTCTTGTGCTCACATCCGGTTGCCTTCTGCACTTGATTATTCAGGGTGTGGTTAGAACAGGAAGGAAGCAGAGACCCCTTTGGATGTTCCAAAGGAATTAGACTGCATGAATATACATCTTATTGTAGCGAGTGCATCTTCGTTTCTTCCTAATCCTCTGGGCCAGCCCTTTAGTCCACGCCTTATCATCTCCCCACTCCCACCCATCTTCCAGGGCCCGACTAGAGGGATCTTCTACAAAGATCTGATCATTTCACTCCCCAGCTAAAAGATCTGTGGCTCCTTATGGCCCATGTGCAAACTCCTCAGCTTAATTTACAGGGCAAATAGTCCTGCAGCGACCCCAGGTGCAAGGCCAGGGCAAAATGAGCACTCTGACACAAATCCACACCATATGAGTTACACTGCAACACTAAAGACACACGGTCAGTACAAGCACCTGGGGACAGCCATTTGGGGGTTACTGGAAGAGTTGAGCCTCAAGTCCAAGCTCTACCTATCAGGTACACAGTGGGTGGTGGCCAAATTCTGCCTTCCTGGGGTAATGTCTTGCCAGGTCCTGGAAAGCCTGAGGTGGGACTTGTCAAGCCTGGTGCCCCAAACTATTACTGTACCAGCCTAACCATTATTACACTGGAACATCGTGTTCTTTGTACAGGCTTCCTTTGGTTAGCCTTGTCCCTGGGCCTAACGTGTGGGTCCCAGGAGAGAAACCTACAGTGTCCCCCCGGCACTGTCCAGAGATTAAATCACCATGTGTAGGCAACACACCTGGCAAGCGACAGCCACATTCACGTGCAGGCTGGACTCACAGTTCTTCTAACTTCATCTCCCAATACTATGTACATAAACACTCCGTACTGGGGTGTTGGCAAAAGCTATCCGTTCACCTTTAAAAGCAAATCTCCTTTACCCAACAAAAGTATACTCAGGTGTGCCCTCTTGTGTGAAATCTTCCCCTAAACTCCAAGGAGTGGGTTTTTCCCCTCTGTGTTACCTTTGCTGTCATATTTTCAGTACCTGGAATTATTGTGCCCAGCTCTTAGAAGAGAACAAGATCCATATCTTACGTTATCTTTTTAACCTCAGAGCATACCACTAGGCATTCAAAGCATTCAGTAAGTCTTCATTGATATGGATAAACGGATGACATCATTTCCTTTTTCTCTTTTTTTAAAGAACTAAGACACAGGCGTGTGCGTGCGCACACACACACACTCCTATGTTTCCACCAAGGGTAGTCCCCACCCCTATTTGGAAACAGGACTACCAAGCCATGCTGCGGGCTTTATCCTCCCCCCGCTCCCCACCTCCAATGTCCCCTACATGATCATGGCCTTTGCTAACCCCTAGGGATAGAAGCAAAGCCATATATAGCCCAAGATGTCAACACAAAAGAATGGTTCTACTGCCTTCCTCACTCTTCCTCTGTCCCCTGGCACACAGACATTCCCTCCCCACACTACCATTTGTTCTCCATTAGCAGCTGGGGTATTCTCTTGGTTGCCAGCCTCAACAGAGGCAATGAGAGGTCTGTGGTCACTTAGTGTAATCTGTTTGGGTACAAATGCACCCTGTGTTTGTCTTCAGGTCCCTATATCCGAAAGCCAGTCGCAATCTTTACCCTCCGGAACAAAATTCTCATCAGTTTTTCTAGACAGGGAACTGGCAGCTTTAGAGAAGAACTATAAAATCTCAGGTTCCTCTGAGCAACAGAGCTTACATTGTATCTCAGAATATATATAATACCTTTCCAGCACTGTCCAGTAGAAGTTTGTGATGGGAAAGTTCTGTATCTGTATTATCCAAAATGGCAGCCACTAATCATACGTGGCTACTGGGTACTTCAAATGTAGTTATGTGACAGAGGGAAGTGAATTTTTAATTTTATTTAATGGTCTTAGATATAGGATACACCCTAGACCATGCAGATATAAAATCTAAGATAAATTATTATATAAAATAAAACATTCTTGTACCCATCCAAGCAGCTTTCAACTGGATTGTCCTGAAATAAGGAGTAATCCATGCACCTGGAAAACGGGCATGTCCTTTTAGAGAATAATTCCTGGTTTCAAGATTTATGCCTTTTAAGTTCCCCTCCATCCCCAACTGCCTGACTCCCCTTGAATGCCACCCAGTTCTGTTTTAATTCCAGGATATTTAACATACAGTGTTATGTTAGTATCAGGTGTACAACAATTCCATACGTTACTCCCAACTCATCTGAAGTGTACTCTTAATCCCTGTTACCTAGTTCACCCATCCCCCACACCCGGAACAGTTTCTGTATAGTTGAGACAAACCAAAAAAGACTTTTAATGCCCCTTGCTTTATTTCTGAAATTCCGAAGTAAAATCCTACAGGATTTGTCTTTCTCTGACTTATTTTGCTTAGCATTATGCTCTCTAGCTCCATCCATGTTGCAAATGGCAAGATTTCATTCTGTGTTATGGCTGAATAATACTCTATTGTATACATATACCATTTCCTTTATCAAGCGATGGACACTTGCGTTGCTTGCATAATTTGGCTATTGTAAACAATGCTGCAATAAACACAGGAGTGCATATATCCTTTCAAGTTAATATTTTTGTATTTGGGGATAAATACCCAATAGTGTAGCATTGGACCATAGGACAGTTCTATTTTTAACTTTTGAGGAACCTCCAGTGTCTTTCCACAGTGGCTACTCTAGTTTGCATTCCCACCAACAGTGCACGAGGGTTCCTTTTTTTCCACATCCTCCCCAACACCTGTTGTTGCTTTTATTTTAGCCATTCTGATGGGTGTGAGGTAATAGCTCATTGTAGTTTTCATTTACATTTCCCTGATAAGTGATGTTGGGCATCTTTTCATATGTCGTCCCTCTGTGTGTCATCTTTGGGGAAATGTCTGTTTGTCTCCTGCCCATTTTTAAATTGGATTATTTGGTTTTTGGGTGTTGAGTTTTATAAGTTCTTTATATATTTTAGATACCAGCCCTTTATCAGAGAGGTCATTTGCAAATATCCTCTCCCATTCTGTAGGTTGCCTTTTAGCTTTGATGGTTTCCTTTGCTGTGCAGAAGCTTTTACTTTGATGTAGTCCTAATAGTTTATTTTTGCTCTCATTTCTCTTGCCTCGCGGGACTTAACTAGAAAAATGTTGCTACGGCCCATGTCAGAGGAATTACTGCCTGTGCTCTCTTCCAGGATTTTTATGGTTTCAGGTCTCACATTTAGGTCTTAAGCCATTTTATTTTTATGTACGGTGCAAGAAAGTGGTCCAGTTTCATTCTTTTGCATGTAGCTCTCCAGCGTTCCCATCACCATTTGTTGAAGAGACCATCTTTTTCCCCATTCAAAACCGTGCACTGGCACAAAAACAGACCTTGTAGATCAGCGGAACAGGACAGAAAGCCCAGAAACAAACTCGTGATTATATGGTCAGTTAATCTTTGACAAAAGAGGCAAGAATACACAATGGGGAAAAGACAGCCAGTTCCTTCTCGATTCCTGCCCTGGAGAGCTGGGCACGCGGGCTGCAGCGGCACCTGCTCGTGTGTTGCAGACGGCTCCACCTGCACCATGTCCGAGTGGATCACCTGGTCGCCCTGCAGCATCTCCTGTGGCATGGGCATGCGGTCCCGGGAGAGGTATGTGAAGCAGTTCCCTGAGGACGGCTCTGTGTGCACGCTGCCCACTGAGGAGACGGAGAAGTGCACGGTCAATGAGGAGTGCTGTGAGTAGGGGTGCCCAGCCAGCAGGGGCTAGGGGAGGAGAGGGAGTGCTCCCAAGGCGGCAGCCGTGACCCCAACAGGGCTGGCCTCCCAGCTCCCAGCAGCTGCCTGATGACCGAGTGGGGCGAGTGGGATGACTGCAGCGCCACCTGCGGGATGGGCATGAAGAAGCGGCATCGCATGGTCAAAATGAGCCCGGCGGACGGCTCCGCGTGCAAGGCCGAGACCTCCCAGGCGGAGAAGTGCATGATGCCGGAGTGTCGTGAGTGGCCGTGGGGCAGGGGATGGGGGCGGTGTGCCGGACCACAGAACCCCTGCCGCTACCACCAGCAAGGCCGGAGGCTGGGCACGTGCTGGGAGAACATACGGCCCACTGTCCTTGCAAGAGCCATCAAGCGGGGCTTCCCTTGAGGGACATTCTGAGCGAGGCTGGGATGGCAAACTGGTGACCTCTGGAAAGCACTCGTCAGCAGCTGTGTTTTATAGGACCCCAGAGTATCCTGGTGGGCGGAGGGTGATATAATACATTCAGGCAGGACATCCACCCCTCAGGTCATAGGCCCCCACTCTTGTTCTGCTCTGGACATGCCTGGCCCCATAAAGCATTACAACCCCAGCTCTACCCACAAATGCACACAGACCCACACATTAGTACACATGCACACACATGCACACGAGTAGAGGTCACCCTAGGGATTTTAGCAACAAAGTGTCCAAAAATGTACTGCATGGTCTTGGGGGGGTGTGGGGTGTTGCAGGCGGGGACTTGTGTATTCCTATTGCTGAGCTACATCAGCAGGGGAGATGCAGGAGAGTGACAGAAGGGCAGGAAGGGCAGTAGTCTGCTGAGCCACTTCTTGCTCCACAGGGTCACTTGGGTCACCTGAAGGCCATCGGTCCATGGCACTCACTCCAGGGGTCAGAGTGGGGAACAGAGGGTAGAGGACACAGGGAAATCAAAGAAAGTAAAGGGAGCCTGTTCTCAGTGGCAAACCTGGCTCTTGGCCTAGACACCATCCCCTGCTTGCTATCCCCGTGGTCCGAGTGGAGTGACTGCAGCGTGACCTGCGGGAAGGGCATGCGGACCCGCCAGCGGATGCTCAAGTCTCTGGCGGAACTCGGGGACTGTAACGAGGAGCTGGAGCAGGTGGAGAAGTGCATGCTGCCCGAATGCCGTAAGTCCTGCAGCCCAGCCCCCTGCTGGGGACTAAGAGCACAGGCTTTGGGTCTCCATGTTAGCACAGATCTTTAACCTTCAGTCTCCTCACTAGCAAGAGGGGGTCCTGCTACCAGCTACACGACCCCCAAACTGCACGTTGCTATGAAGTCTAAAGAGGAGACGGAGATGGGAAACACATAGCACAGGCTCCTTGTCAAGGAGCCTCATTATGTGGCTCTTGCCCTCCCCACCTCCACAACTCTCTGATCCATGGGGTTTCCAACCTTTTTACTTCTATTCCTTTTCCCTGTGACCATTTGCCCACGACTAGAAGGTGGACGTGAAGTCAATAACTTCTGTACTTTTGCAGCCTTGCTAAGACCAGCAACGAAAAGCTCAATGCCCACCCCCACCTCTTCCAAAACCTCTTTGATCACCTGCATTTCTCGGGTGCTGATCTCCAAGGAGAGGGAGGGAGCCCATTTTTATGGCTAATCTTCCAAGAGAGCTTCTCTTTTAGGAAGTAGAAAGACAGGCTTGCTAGGATGGGTTTTTTTGGCTTCCTCTGAGAGGAAGGTCCCAGCTTTGTCCCTTACGCAGATGACCACACCCCTGCTCAACTGTAAAATAGCAAGAAACATTTCCTAGGTTCCTCTGAGGATTAAACCACATAACTGGTACAAAGTGCCAAACACTAGACCTGGCAGGTGTGTTACACTCAGTGTTACATATTACAGTTCCTGAGCTGTTTTAGCTACATGTGGTCATGTGTGGAGATGACCCAGACCATCAAACTGAGGCTGAGGCTTTGAATAACTAAGGTTGACCCTGTGTTCAACCCATCTCACCAAGAGTGGGGGCTCCAGAACCTCTGACTGAGACACCCACTGAAACGTATATTCACAGGATTCACTGAATGGAGAACAACGCTTCCTGTGCGCCAGGAACTGCGCTGGGAAGATTTCATTTAGTCTTCACAACTAATGAGAAAAATACCATTATCCTCATTTTACACATAAGCTGCCTGAGCTCACAGGGAGAAAGGCCAACAATTACCCAAATGAGTTCTTCCTAGATCTACATTCTGCAGACCCAGTGAGGAGTCCAGAATCCTTTGCCTCCTTAGGTCACATTCTCAGAATCAGACCGTTGCGTTATTTTCCCTCTACTTTGTGAGGTGTTGGCTTAATAAGAATTTGCTGGATCCTATACCCTGATAGACCATTAAGACCCCCACTTGTCCCCACCCCTCTTTTCTAATGAATTTTCTGTTTCTGGCTCCTGCGATTTTTGCACAAACTGCCATCTATAGGACCCGGGGAGATGTTGAACGAGAAGCTACCAGAGTCTTACTGCAAAAGTCACAGTGGCCTTGGGTATTGGTCCACAGGGGTCAGCTCTGAAAAATACCCAGTCCTTGGGACTGTGGAAGATGGCTCTATGCCACTTAGGGCTGATTTGACAATACTCTAGCTGCTCACAGGGAAGGGTGAGAGACTCTGAACATATCTTCCAAATTCCTCGAGTCATTTGGGCACAGAAGGTGGGGGAACCAACCCTGTGGGCTGAAGTCAATCTGCGTGTAGGAACCGCCCAGTTTCTTCTGTAAAATGGGAAAACAGCACCTTCTCTGCATCTCTCAGACTTGTGTGGAGATGTTCAGAGGAAAACGCAAGTGGCCATATGCTGTTTCAGACATGAGATCCACTCCTGCCCATCTGTGTCTTGCCAGCCATTGACTGTGAGCTCACCGAGTGGTCTCAGTGGTCGGAATGTAACAAGTCCTGTGGGAAAGGCCACATGATTCGAACCCGGATGATCCAAATGGAGCCACAGTTTGGAGGTGCACCCTGCCCAGAGACCGTGCAACGAAAAAAATGCCGTATCCGGAAATGCCTGAGAAATCCATCCATCCAGAAGCTGCGCTGGAGAGAGGCCCGAGAGAGCCGGCGGAATGAGCAGCTGAGGGAAGAGTCCGGAGGCGAGCAGTTCCCAGGTACTGCTCCCAAGCCTGAAGCTGGAGTTTGGAGGGGTGGGGGGAGATGTCAAAGCAGGGGAAGTGGGTCTTGAAAACTGATAGGGGTTTGCGAGTTGAAGGCATCCCCAGCGGCAGGGACAGGGCTCGCCACGGCACAGAAATGTCACAGAGCATGAGATGTTCAATAAATAGGGGGCAGATGGAGCAGAGTACAAGGGGAGAGGCAGGAAACCTGGAGACGTGGGGACCAGACCATAAGCCTGCTGAGGTTTGAGACTTGATCCTGTGAGAAGTTCTAAGCAGGAGTGACTTAACACACCTGTGTTGAGGTGGCAAAAACAGAGGCCACTTCTGTTTGTACCCCAGGAAAAAGAGTGTGTCCCCTACTCTGGCACTAAAAAAACAACAAAAACCTGGGGCTTCACTGTTGAATAAGCTGGTCCACAAGCAAAGACTACAATGTCATTATTTCATACTTTTGCCAGTGACGGATTCATGGTTCAGCCCTTGGTACAGACTGATGGTGTTTGGATTCTCTGGAGTGGGTGAGGAAGGTGTCATGTTTGAAGGTTAATAGGTACACTGTGTTGCTATTTTAAAAGGCACAGCTCAATTTACCCCACATTCTCTTCCCTAAGGCCTTTCACCCCGACAGGACAGAGAAATACATATCTGAAGAGCCACCTGATCGTTCACTGTCCATTAAGGAGAGGTGTGCATATCAAAGTGCTATCTGTTGGGACAGGGTAGTCAGCCATTCAAGAAATGGTGATTAAGCCCAACTATGTGCCAGGCAGACACTGTGCCATGGCCTTCTCCTCCATAAAACTTAGCAGAGTAAACATGCCTGGTTGTACAAGAGTAATGTGGAGGATCTTGAAAACATTTTTTGAAAAGATCTCCTGTAACCTCTGAGTCAGGTTAAGTTTTAAGGCAAGCATGTTTATCTGTGTAAGGAAATTAATCACACTTGAATGTATTTAGGAGACCACGTACCTGGGGAGCAAAGCATTAGGATAAAGTGGTTTAATTGCTCGAGTGCTAACTGCCATCACCAAGCCACCCCGAAACTACTAGGATTCTGCAGGTCCGTGGCAGGAGCTGGCTCAGCTAGGTGGGTCTTCTGAGGTCTTGCTGAGACTCCTGTAGCTCCTGACAACTGGAGGCTCGGCTGGGGCTAGGTCTAGACCGGCCTCACCTGCACTTCTGGGGCCTCAGAAAGACTGGCTGGAGTCTCTCGCCACACGTTCTCTCCAGCAGTCTAGCCAGGCTTGCTGACATGGTGAGGGCGGGGGGTTTCCTACCAGCCTTTTCCAGCCTGTTTGCTCATGTCCCATTGGCCAAAGCAAGTCAAAGAGCCAAGCCCAGATTCCAGAGGTGGCAATGTGGACTCTGCCCCTTGATGGGAAATGCTGCAACAGCATTTATGGACACATAGGAGTTGACAGTCTCTAATAAGGGCCCTAACCATTATTAAACTCAACCCATCATTCCATACAAGAGCAGGGAAGCCCAGACAACTCCGTTTCATAGCTGTGGCCTGGAGTTCAGCATTCAGTTTGGTCCCCCCATTTCTGCTGGCCTAACCTGACCTCCTGCTTCCAGGCTGCAGGATGCGCCCGTGGACAGCCTGGTCGGAATGCACCAAACTGTGTGGTGGTGGGATCCAGGAACGCTACATGACCGTCAAGAAGAGGTTCAAAAGCTCCCAGTTTACCAGCTGCAAGGACAAGAAGGAGATCAGAGCGTGCAATGTTCACCCTTGTTAACAAGGGTGTAAGTTTTCCGGGGCTGCACCCTGGCTTGCACAGTCATCGATGGCTGGAGTGTGTGTTTGCTTGTTGTTTAAGGCAATTTAAATTGTATACATTAGTTTTCATTTCTGCAGTGTGGTTCGCCCACCAGTCTTGTTGATGCCAGGGACTTCCTTTCTGTCTGCTTCTTGGTATGCAGAGGCTGCGTGGGGCTCCCTCATCCCCAGATGGCCCTCCTCCAGCACAGAAGTGAGTAGTGTCAGCTACCTGTACTGGATGGACATGTGTCCCTCTGGAGCACCCACCTGGGCAGCCGATACAAGCCTGGCCCCCTCCACAGGGAGCGGCAGCCAGGTGTGGAAGGGATTCCGTGCCTCGGTCCCAGGGTGCAGTGGGGAGGAAACAGTCCTGCTCACACGGAGAGCGCAGATTCCCCTCACTCTTGTTTTTGGCCTGCTTGCTCTTGTAGGAACCTCGTTTGCCCATCTCTTTTCATTTAGTGGAATTTAGGGTCCCTTGTTGAGTCTCCTCGGTCATCAACAGTTATTGGGGAACAGAGAGCTGGTAGATGTGAAGTGCATTGATGTAGAGTGGCTTTTCTTTCAGAAATTTATCTCCCCTCCTAATATTGGTTCCTGATACCCCAGAGAAAAGAAACTTTGGCTGCTTTATTGGAATTTAAGGTTGCCACTTCTTACACCTGAGGTAAAAGGTACTAAGTCTAGAAAGTACCTTTCCCTAGCTTCTTTTTTTTTGGGGGGGGGGGGGGCACAATTTTCCTAAGGACGCCAGCCTTATAAACTTATAAACCTTCTGACATTACATCCTTACTAGGACCCAGGCAGCAAAACTGGCCTTTCTAGAGGAGTCCCAAACCTACGCTTTTAAAATCTTCTGACACGCATCTAATTTTAAGTTTTCAAACCAGTTCTCCCAAAACATCTTTTAGTTATACATCAGCTGCCTGCATCCCACCAAGCCATTGCTTCAACAAAAAATACTATCTTTGTACGTTAAAAGGTGTTTTTTTTCTTTTTTAGTCCTAAAGTTTTACATGTAGAAAGAAAAAGTGTTTCAGAGACCAAGAAAGAAAGCTAGGGAGAAAGGTATTATTACAGAATCAGGCTGGGTAAGAATATCTGGTGGGAAGCCAAATTCACCTCAGCTTTCCACAGTGGGGCTCTGGGCCCTCCATCACCTGCATAGGAAAGGCCACGGTTTTCCATCCCCTTCCAAGCACTCATACGCACCAAATTCAGGGATTCTGACTACCAGGAATTCGTGTAAAAGGACATTTTACTGAGCTGAGTCTAGCAGCAGTTTTTACTTATTCATTTATTGTTAAAACTGTTTCATTTCTGTTGCAGGTTTTCATTATGCTTAATCCAAATATGTATCCCGGATGAGATGCATACGTGGTTTTGAATACACTACTTTAAGAATTTGCATTAAACCCATCAGGATGTCTCCAAACACAACATACATATGATATAGCCCTGAATCTGTATTTTCTTTAACATCAAAGGCCGTTCAATAAAAAAAATTCATTTGGGTCTGTCTGCTGTGTTTTTAAACTAAGTGTTCAGGAAGTTGGGACTTCTTGCAGTTATCTGCCTGAATCACATGCAGCAAAAAGACAGGGTTTCTGGTCCCTCATTCAAGAGGGGCCATTATTACCAACCAACACAGCCCTGAGTCTTCTGGAACTTTCAGTTTCCAATATTATTTTTGTGATCCTTAAATGGACTGCTTTCTCACCTCACGAAGGAGTGTAACATAAGTAAGAGGTTTCATTTGGACAAAAAGTCTTGATACAAAACCCGCCTGCTTGTGCATTCCCCTCAGCCACCTGGAGGCAGATATCCACCCCATGAAAATCAAAGGTCAAGTCAGTGATTCCTAAGTAAGTAAGGACAAGCCACCCTAGTGTCCCATGTTCTTATCAGGTCTCTATTGGATACATTTTTAATATTAATTTTGGAGACTTAAAACCAAGTAACTGGATAAGGGCTGAGAATGGGTAACATGCGTCTTGTTATGTGTTATTTCTTTTGGTTGCAAGGGGGAATTTATAAGAAGCATCAAATCTCTTTCTTACCAAAGTCTTGGGTTAGGTAGTTTATAGTTTTTCTGGCTAAGCAGTCATTTTGGAAATACTTTACTATAAAAATGAAATTGTTTCAACTTCCACTTGGGATAATAAACAGATGAGACACCCAGTAAAAACCGCCATATAAAGAGGAGCTATAATTGTTGCATATATTTACATCCACATTTTAAGATGACAATAAATTCAGAGATCTATTCCCCAACCAGACCATGGGTCACTCACCTGAAACCTTCCTTGCTGATGCATTAATTGAAGGAAGTCTGTCGTAGCTAAAGAGAAAAAGCCTGCACTTTTTCAGACCCAGAACTGAAAAAAATTAAAGATTTTGTAATTTAAACTTTGTGTGTAATTTAAACTTTGTGTATTAAACATGTTTTAGGCTCACTCCAAAGTCTGTATACTTCTTCTGGGAAGTGAGAGTACATGACACATTCTCACAGAACTACAATTCTCCAGAAACTGAGTCCAGGTCAAGTCCATGACTAAAAGGTCCATACACAACAAATATCTAATGCTGTGACCTAACAGCCCACATATTTCAGGCAACAGTTTCAAGGGGCTAAATATTATAGTGTCCCAGGACTGTATGCTTAGTCCCTTCTTCCCCAAAGAAAAGGACCCTATTGTCCAAATAAGAGTAAACATAAATGTTCAATCCCTAATTACCACATGGAATGATTCGTTTTGTTCTTCGTGTTGCCCAAAAGTAGGGAGGATGAGTGAAATAAATTAGTCCCTTTCGAAAATGAGTGAAATGCTGTGACAAACTATAAATAGCGGCTGGATGCTAATGAGCATGAAGATAATTCTTCCATTTGAATCCTTTGAAATCTGTGAGTAAAAGATCTGTACTAAAATGTCAAATTTAAATAACGGCGTCCCTGCTCTAGACCCCTTTGGTTCAAGAGGTTTTAGGCACTCTGTGGGCCAGCACTGGGAAGCTGTGTTTAAAACACTGGTGTGGTCCTGAGTTGCTGAGAGAGCTGGGGCCAGGAATGTCACCTTTTCTGGCTCAGGCTTTGACAGCAGCAGGCTTCCGTGAAAGGACTCCTCTGCCCCACCTCCCCAGTTCAGCCAATTCTCACCTTGGGAGCGAGTCTGATGGCATCCAACAGAGGAGTCGCTGGATGCCAGCCTCGCCCCACCAGTCCCTCATATCTTCGTAAACCAGCAAAGGCCCACGTTGTGCAGAAGCTGGCCTGAGCTGCGTTTCTGTCATTTATAACTGAAAATGTCCTCACAAATAAAATATACACGCAATACTTTTAACCCAGCTCTCCTCAGACCAAAATGCAATTTCAGATTTTTCTCTTAACATTTACAATGTTGAACATAAGATAGCATTCATTAACATTTTCTCATATTGCTCTAAGTGCTTCATGAAATTCAGAATGTGTTCTTAACCACTTCCTGGCTTTAGAACTGGTAAAGTTCTCGTATTTTAGCAGTTCTCATATTTAAGTTAACCGTTCTCGTATTTTAGCTTACGTGTTTGAACGGTTTTCCTTTACTCCAAGTAATTTGAAGTATTAGCAGAAGGGAAAAGGACAAACAGCTTATTCAAGACTACTGACTCCTTTACAACACTTGGGGTTTTATCAAAGTAGGGTCTGTATTTTCTTCTGTAAAAAAAAAAAAGAGAGTCTGTATTTTAGAGGCAAGCAACCCTACTGCGTGATCTTTCCCTGGAACCCCTGGCCCATCTGGGAAGGCTGAAGGAGCACTGGTGGAAAACACCTGGATCCGCTCCCTTACGCACTGTGCTAGCACAGCCTGAGAGCTTCCACCACCTGTTACCGTCCTACGATGATACAAAAATTGAAAGCAGATGTTCAGAAACGTTTCCAGTGATTGCCAGTATAGCCAAGAGGATGATTACTTTTCTAAGTAGCTGATTTCTTTAAGTTACATTTAGCAAGGCTATCATTCCACAGCAGCGGAGAGGAGTTAATTCTTCAAACTGGCCATTCACCTCAGCCGGTCGGAGAAGCAAGCACAGAACCACGCCATGCTCGCTGCCCCATCAGAAAGGGATACTGGCCCGCAAAGTGTCAGCCTCTAGATCTCTCCAGAGCCTAAGTGTCCACATGGCAATACGTACTTACAGACTTGTACACCTACCTACCTATGATTAGGTACCAGGCCCTGGCTCTTCCTGCTCCTCTAACATCCTATCAAGGAAGAGAACAGCCCCATCACCCTCTGATTTTGCCACAGAACTTCCCAGAATGGTAGCCCACATATCTTCCACTTCCTTGCACTCCAATCACACCACGACCACTATAATCTGGTTCCTGCCAGATGACGGACACAAAACCTTCCAAGTTACCAGCAAGCATCTACGCAACCACACTGCCTCTTACCCTTCTGCACCTCCCCCCCTCCGCCACCACCCCAGTCTTTTACAGCCCTCCGCTCTGGCCACCCCTTTGGCTTCTTTGACAATAATCTCCTGGTTCTCTCCAGTTTCTGACTGCTTCTCTTGGGTTTTTGCTGACTTTTAAGCTTTTATCCCCAAGTGTTCGTTTTCCCCCTGGAAGTTTTACCCTTGGATCTTCTCTGAAACTCTACTTCCATCCACTCCCGCCTGTTCACACATCAGCTCAAAACAGATAAATTCCAAATCTGCACTTGCAGTCCTAGCCTCTTTCTGCAGCTCCAATCCCCATTCCCAAATGCCTCCGGGACTAACCCCTGTACATAACCGCCACAATCACCATACATTTCTATCACCAGAGGGTTGCCCGTGTGTCCTCTTCATTGATCAAATGGTTTTTCTGCAAATGCCAGGCAAGGGGGGTAAAGCTGTGTACGTGGCACACATGGTTCTGCCCCCTCGGAGCCTGTGACACCCAAGTGCAGATGAGACAAGACAGACAAAATACTCACAGATGCCTCCGTGTCA